TCAATTCATCTCACAAGACCCTCGGAGCATGTGGAGGGGCATTAAGTGCATAACAGATTATAAAGGAAGGAGTGAACAATGCTCCAAAGACCCATCTCTGCCTGATGCCCTCAACAAGTTCTATGCACGCTTTTAAGACCCGAACAGACCACCCAGCACCAGACTCACCTCGCCACCGGATGAAGAGCATCTCAGCGTGACCTCAGCAGAAGTAAGGAGTACCTTCAGGAGGATTAATCCGCACAAAGCAACTGGCCCAGACAACATCCCCGGAAAAGTGTTGAAGGAATGTGCTGATCAGCTCTGTGAGGTGCTGGCAGACATCTTTAACACCTCACTTACCCTGGAGACAGTTCCCACCTGCCTGAAGACTGCCACCATCATCCCAGTCCCAAAAAGCTCTACAGTGACTGGTCTGAATGACTATCGGCCAGTGGCCCTCACCCCGATAGTCGCTAAATGCTTCGAAAAACTGGTCATGACTCACATCAAAACAACCATCAACATCAACGAGGACCCTCATCAGTATGCATACCGTGAGAACCGATCAACAGAGGATGCCATCTCCTCTGTGGTCCACACTGCGCTCAACCACCTGGAGCAGAAAAAACTCTTACGTCCGTATGCTCTTTGTGGACTTCACATCCGCCTTCAACACCATGATCCCCCAAACCCTGATGGACAAACTATCCACACTAGGACTAAGCCCCTCCATCTGCAACTGGGTACTAGACTTTTTAACAAACAGACCACAGTTAGTGAGGATCCACAACCTCTCCTCCTCCACCATAACCCTCAGCACTGGCTCTCCTCAGGGATGTGTGTTGAGCCCTCTTCTGTTTACTCTGCTCACATATGATTGTGCAGCTACCCATCCAGGCTGTCACATTGTAAAGTTTGCAGATGATACAGCGGTGGTGGGATGCATCACAAACAATGATGAGTCCAGCTACAGGCAAGAGGTGGAACACCTGGAGAGCTGGTGCAGAGAGAATAACCTTCACATCAATGTGAAGAAGACAAAGGAGATGATTGTGGACTTCAGAAGGAACAAAAACATCTACACCCCCCTGAACATAAGAGGATCTGCGGTGAACGTGGTCTCCAGCTACAAGTACTTGGGTGTACACCTGAACAACAACCTCAGCTGGAGCAACAACACCACCAGCCTGATCAAGAAAGCTCATCAGAGACTCTACTTCCTCAGACGGCTGAGGCGAGCTGGTCTGGAAGCTCAGTCCTCACCTCCTTCTACAGGTGTGCAGTGGAGAGCATCCTGTGCTCCAGCATCAACGTGTGTCATGGAGGCTGCACAGCTGCAGAGAGAAAAGCTTTGCAGAGAGTGGTGAAGGCTGCACAGAAATCTGTTGGAATCAGCCTCCCCACCATCACAGACATCTACACCTCCAGATGCAGGAAGAGGGCCACCTGCATCATGAAGGACCCCACTCACCCAGCACACACACTTTTTGCCCCACTCCCCTCAGGAAGGAGGTTAAGGAGCATTAAGTGTAGAACCACTAGACTGAGGAACAGCTTCTACCCTGAGGCTGTTAGACTCATGAATCTCTAACTAGAATAATCACTGTGAAAAACCACATCATGTTGCTGCTGATCTGTTTCATGTTGCTGCTGATCTGTTTCAATGTTGATGTGTTCATGCGTGCACATCTGCTCACAGACTCATGTTCATGTTTGTGCTGATGTTCAATGTTTTATGTTATGAGTGCTTAGTGTATATTTAGTTGATGTTTTTCTTAGTTCATATCTTAGATGTTATTACTGTTTTTCTTAGACATTTTATTGTGGGATGTAACTGGGACCCCGTGTACATAATTTCGCTCCACCACATGTACCACATGAGGTGCGAATGACAATAAAGAAACTCTGACTCTGACTTGAAGTCTTATAGACTTAGTCTTATAGACTTAAGTCTTATAGACGTTGTCTTATAGACGTAGTCTTATAGACCTAGTCTTATAGACTGATAGACTTAGACTTAGACTTATAGTCTTAGACTTATAGACTTAGACTTAGTCTTATAGACTTATAGTCTTATACTCTTATAGACGTATAGTCTTATACTCATAGACTTATAGACTTATAGTCTTATAGACTTATAGTCTTATACTCTTATAGACGTATAGTCTTATACTCATAGACTTATAGTCTTATAGACTTATATTCTTATACTTATAGACTTAGACTTATAGACTTATAGTCTTATAGACTTATAGCCTTATAGACTTAGTCTTGTACTCTTAGACTTATAGTCTTATACTCATAGACTTATAGTCTTATAGACTTATAGTCTTATACTCATAGACTTATAGTCTTATAGACTTATAGTCTTA